AGGGCTCTCTGTCATTACAGCAGGCAGACTTCAGTGCAGGGAGCGGATACCTTGCGTGGATGTACCTTTTAGTACATTTCTGCATGAAATTACATTTCCAGTGTAGCCGGGAGTCTACAGGGTGCTTTATGGCAGGAGACACAGAGTTCCAGTTTACTTTTTGTTGTGTCTGTTATGTGTCACTCTAATAGTGGCCTGAGGCAGCTGGGAGGAGGCTGCTGCAGTGAGTATGTGATCCCAGTTGGAGACTGGGCAGCACTGGATGTCTGATTGATGTCTCTGCAATATGTCTCTCAGTGCCATTATGCTTTTGGCTGCTTGACATCCTGCCTGCCTGCCTGCCTACCTGGCTCTGCAGTTTATTTTATCTCTGATTCACTTTCTCTGCTGTGAGAAAGTGGGCTGAGGGCAGTTTAAGTCCCTTAACTTTTTATTCCAGCTCATGTGGTAGAAAGCAGGTATGAAAGCTACTTCAGCACCTCCTTCCTGCATTTGTATTGTGTTGCTCAGCACTCAAAGCAACGTGAGGCTGGTCATGGTTTATAAGCCTTAAGCAGATAGTTCCTGGAATGACCCAGGTTCACCAACACTGTACTGACTCCTTAACCAGAGGTTTGTGTGTGTAAGTCTGTGTGGGATTCTGCATCATTTGAAAAGCCAGGGTGTTGGGGTGTGAGGGGCAGAAGTTACTTGCATCTTGTCCACCCCTTGGTCAGGTTTGTGGCTGTGCTTTGTTCACTTACCTACCTGTTTGTAAAACTGGATTTTTCTTCTGACTATATACGTGCAAAGCAAATATTGACTCATGGGACTAATGGTATTTGCAGCTTCAGGATATGCCTTTGCCTGACCTAAGGGAGAAAACTGGTGAGGGAAGGGAAGGTGTCTGAGAGCCCCCCTTGTGCATTTCATTGAGCAAGTCAGGATTTTAATGAGGAAAGCAAAGCTTTCCAGGTGTGAGAGGACAGAAATGAACTGTCAGATTTGGTGCACAGTCTGATTTTTGTCTGATTTCTGAGAGGGGGAGTTGTTAAATTGGATTCAATCTACTTGGGGTTTTAATTGCTGAACTGGAAGAGGCTTCTAGAACTACACCTAAGTGCATGGCCTTCTGATGGGTACTGTGGCTTTTGCTTTTCTCTCTTTCAAACCTTCTTTCATTTAATGAAGGGAGAGAATAGAGAGCAGTGGAAACCAGCTGACAGTCCAGAGGTGGCAGTGGGATTTACTGCATGCAATATTGCTTCATGTTTGTATTAAGCATATTGGAAAGCACGTTTTCCCCCTGCTAACTCACTGTCAGAGGAAGTGCTGTATATGCTGTTCCTATAACGGTGGATGAAAATCATTCTAGGAAGAAGAATTGTTATGCTTGTTCTGGTCCTTCTGATGATGTTCACTGACTGCTACTAAATAGTTCTTATGTTGTACCAATGGTAATGTTTTCAGCATACAGAAACATTGCTTTGCAAAACGTTAGTTTTCTGCAGAGTCTGTTAGAGGTATTTGGCTTTTTTGGTGGCTTTTTAGTGGATTCTTGTTGTTGTTGCTAATATCAGCAGGGGAAGAACACTCCTGAGTTTCTGTCTCAAAATAAAGATCCTACTGAAAGCCTGCAGACAGTGTCATTTCATGCCTAGCTCGTTCAGGTGCTACCACAGCAGGCCGAAGTGGAGATCACGTGGCAAAAGAGGCCAAGCAAGTAAAACACAGGCAGCAGGAGATTGTTATCTGGTGTTAGCAAGAAGCCAGGTAATTGAAATCTTTCATATCACAGCTGTGTGGAAGAGCAAGTGTGTCCAGAGGAGGCTCCGTATCACTAAGTGGAAGTAAATTTGCAGGTCTCCTTTGCAAACATCAATTTCTAAAGGACACCTACACTGGAAAAGAAACTAATTGGATATAATCCTGCACTGTATGTATTTACAACTCCAACAAAGGTGTTGCAGCTGGAGCACTACAAATAGCTCACAGCCTTCTTTTTCAGGGACACACACAGTCATTACAGCTGTCTTCTAGCAGGCTTGAATCAATGGTGGAGTGATTTGTTTTACAGGCTCAACTTAAAAGGTAAAGCTGCAAATAACAGGTACCATTTGCATTTTAACAAAAAATACAGTTCTTTCAAAGCGTGAAGACTACCTGTAGTGTGACCAAAATCACTTTGTACGGGAAACTTAAGGTGCCTTTAAACATGGGAAATGCCTCTTAATGCATGGGTAAAAACTGGTTTTAATTTTAGAGTTCTGAGGGATTGCAGGTTGCCATGGAATATTTGTTGGATCTGTTTTTTCCTTTGTATCCCTTACTGCTGCTCATTTCAGAAGGATGGACTGCAAATAACAGTCCATAGTGTTAGCTGTGGCAATTTCATGCATGCAATTTCATAGGCTTCATGGGAGCTCCTTTTGTTACCTGCTGTTTTCTGGCTTAGGAGAGTTTGAGAGTTGCTTTAGGTTTATATCCCTCAGTCAAAGGAAAGAACTTACTATATCAATCCCATATGCTTGATATCCTCTTCCTGTCTTGCACTGGGTGTTGTCTGGTTGTATCAGGGAGCCTTCCTTCCAGTTCCTGTGGTGCTGTACTGGAGGCAGAGTGGGAGGAGGCAGAAAGCAGGGTGATGGGGACCTGCAGGGCTGGCACAGTGGGCTTGGCACCTTCTCTTGGAGACACCTGGCTCCATGGGCAGTTCCCAGCGCACGACCTCCTTGTGCCGCAGCTGGAGCCTTCTCTCGGTGTGATTCACATTCACCATCTTGCCCTTTTGCACACCCCAGTGCCAGCAGCAGGGTGAGCTTCAAGCTTTCCTTGGGCGCCGTCCCAGATGGGTGCTCACAGGAAGGTTTCTATAGGAACCAGGGGCAGGAAAAACCTGCCCACCAAGTTCAGGGCTCTAATGCAGGCAGCAGGCAGGGGAATGATTTACAGCAAGGCGGAGGCCAACGCGTGATGACGTGGACAAGGGAACGTGTTCCCCTTTGCTACACCTGTCCTAGGATGAGGAGGCACTTGTAGCTTCAGCATTCTCCTGCCCAGCTTCCCAAGCACCATGGTTAATTCCCTTGTTACGGGGTGTTTTCTCATCTATGTGCCTAACGCACCAGCCTGGCTCCTGTGTAGCAGGC